GAGCTGGAGGAAGTGTCTGGAGAGAGGGAAGTCTGGGCATCTTTGCTTAGACTGCTGCCCCCGCGACCCGGTCCCAGATAAGCGGAGGAAAATGGATGGATGGATGGATGGATTTTAGGAAATATTTACTTTCTTGCTGAAGGCTAAGCAAGATGAATGATACCGCTCTCTTCTCTGTGTGATACAAGTGAAATGACAACAGCAGCCAGTTAGTTCAGCTTAGCATAAAGACTGGAAACATAAGGAAAACGTTAGCTTGACCTCTGTTTGAAGGTAACAATCAATCTACCAGCTCCTCTAAATCAACATATAATATTCTGGTTGGTGGATTTATACAATAAGTCGTGTAAAACTGAGCTGAACTGACTGGGAAGAGATATAAGTGTACAAGATGTAGTTTTGCCTTTCAAGAACCTTGCTAGCTGTTTCTCACATTTGTTTTTTTTTGTTGTTTTTTTTGTTTTTTTATCAACTAAGCTAATGGCTACTGAGCATAGCTTCATATTAATTCAGTCAATATTAGACTAGCTTGTTCTTATCTAACTCTTGGAAAGAAAGAGAAAAGGCATATCCCCCAAAATGGCAAACAGTTTCTTTAAACATGACATTGCAGAGGTACAGCGCATTGGAAACAGGGCTGCTTGACATTTTAATCATATAACGGACAAAGGAACGAGAATTTAATCTAGCTTGATTGGTGAGACATTTAAACAGAAGGATTTAAATCAGTGAAGCACCAATATCAAGGAAGCTGCCCTGTCTTCCTCGCCAATAAATTCACTCTGTTTATTACAGCAGACTCTTCCTTTGTTACGACTTTGCAGAATAAGCAGCTTGCAAGGCTGCGTTGCTGAAATTTGAAATTACCCATGGGTGAAAGAGGCTGTGACTGTAGCCCTGCCAAATTCACTCAGTGTAAGTGCCCTCACTTTAGTCTTTATTTCCTGACTCTTGACAATCTTACCATGAGTTTCTGGCCCATCCTCACTGACTCACCACTTTAACAAAGACATTATATATGAACACATCATTTGCTGCAATAAAACAAGTTTGCTTCACTAGAAATGGGGAAAATAACACTACCAAAGCATTTGCACTTAGTGATCTTGCCATACAATGTAAAGGTAAGTCTTCTCTTTTAAGTGTTATAAACTCTTAAGGCCCTGTACTTGCTGTTGTTGAATTGACTTGCTAAATA